AGTCGAGATAAAAGTTACATGGCTGGATTTTTTATCAGATTTATGTTTTGAGAGTAAAATTTGAAATACATAATCCATTGGCGTTAAATTTTTACAAAAATTTGTTGTCATCCCCTAGAATGTTGACTTTATTTTTAGTCTTGAATTAGAGATGAGTGTTTTGAAGGTGCCTATCTCCCAGGGTCTTCTATAATTAACATAATGGATCATTTCGTGTTAATAATAAACCACTACTATTAACATTACTACATAAATATTGATTTTATATATATATATATATGCATACTCATGTAGGTCATTCTTGTATTCATTTTTATGTGGGTATTTTCCATTTTGTTTTTGTTTTTAAAAGCTTGTATTTTACCTACAAATAAACATTCGAATTGATTTTCGAATCGTTAATATGATCATTTAATACTAATGGGCAGTTTATTGCTTACACATTCAGTTTAAATATAATTTTTTAGGTCGTTGCATATACCCAACCACCGACTGTCTCGACCGGCAATGTTTTGTGGTGTGGGGGTAGGTTGGAATAAAGATAGTGGTGGCCAGAACAAGACACAGATTCATGAAGTCACTGACAAGTGGAATGAGCCATGTTAGTAGGTGTAGACTACCTAGTTAGGGTCCACGAAACGAAAGTATCCGATGGTTAGAGACCATGAACGACATGGCTGAAAATCGTTTGCAATGGCGCAGGTGCATCCATTATTTTTGTCTTGTCAAATTCTTATCTAAAGTCCTCATTAACTTCATCTTTCTCTTCTCAAATCTATTTCACTGGATTATTCTTCTTGTGATATTTCCGATTACTGCTCATACTTGCACTTCCTCTACTACTATGGGATTTTCACCAGCAATTGTGATAGTGGAGAAAAACACTACGTACGACAAAGTCGACGGCCTCTTCAGCTTCATTTACGTGAACACCAATTACCAATCGAACACCAGGACAATTCTTCGCTTACATCAATACACACGGAAAATTATGGACACAAATTCGATTGGAACAATGTGGAAATACTGGATAGGGGGAGGACAAAGAGCACTAGAGAATTTTTAGAAGCTTGGCGCTCAGGTCCGATTAGCAATCAACAAACACATCTACACTGAACCAATTTATCAACCAATCAGAAAAATCATAGGTGGCATAGGATCAAGAAACAGATCAGAAAGGGAGATACAATCAAAACAAACGTGCAAACAACGACAGGTTTAAAGTCAACAGCAACCAATCAAGATCGAGGTTAGCAGAACAAGCTACAGGTCTGAAGATTGTGCTGATGATGTTCAGACGAACAATGAAAGTTCCACAACCAAAATATCCAGCTCAGAGAACGAAACACTACCACAAGGACCAGCAATTGCATCTCTGTGCTACCGTGGTATGGTAACCTGAACTGATGCACATAAGTAAGAAGTTCTACGTTGTAGCTGACTGACTGACCATTTAAGTCGTTTATGATGTATAAGTAAGTACAGTATTTTATTATCGGTTTTGTCAAGTTAGGTAAATTATTATACACGTTGACTATGTTTTATTACAAATATGTTCACACACATATAGAAATATCTTTTCAAAGATTACAGACAACGGGGTCTTTGTACAGAATTAAGTAAATTTGTTTATTTCACGTTGTACCAATAAAATGATTAAACAAGGTGATGTTGAGTGTAAAGTATATTAACGACATCAAACTTAGTACGCTCTTCACATAATACTGATGATTTTATAAATACGTTCAAAGTTTGGACGACATTACCTAAAATATACTTGGTTATTAACTGAATACTAATGAATAGCTAAATGTAATCGTTCATTTACGATTACACGATGGCTACATCTGTGTATTTTGCAAACTTTTTCCAGTTGGTAATGTTAAAAGCGTTGTTTTCAACTAGTCGAGATTTGTTGCATGGACTGCAATAATTAGTTATATGCTGGTTGTCCATTTGAACGGTTACATACAGATATCACTGCAATTTATTCTGCAGTTAAACCTAAACACGTATATTTGTTAACTGCGGCTGAAAACTTGATCTAGTATTGATCAATGAACGCTTCGTGGCTTAGTACTAGAGTCGTTACATGATGTAGATTTCATAAAATTTCTGTGCTATTCATATGCATTAGGTTGGAATTTTATTATGTTTCGTCATGATAATTTGCTCAGAAGATAGGACTATTATGAGAACATTGTTGTAAAGTTCGTTGAAGCATCTCACAACACAACTGAGATACGCGTAAATTCGAGTTAAAAGACGGTTTATCTACTGAACGGTTTCACTGTTATAAAATATATTTAAATTAGTTGAAAAAGCCACAATTTGTGAGAAAACAAAATGTTTCTTGAGATAACCGTATAAAAGTGACTAACAATATATTATAACTTGTAGAACACCTCTTAAGGTGAATAAAGTCAACTCTAATCATCAATAATGGAAAAGGGAAAAAGGACAAAAACGTTACTACAGTATATAAACAAACTGTTAAGAAATGCGCTAAAATTCGAAGCGTTGCAGTTGTTCAGAGAATGTAATTATAACAATGACCAAAGTGAATGTTACTGGTTTTTGCACTTAAAAATATTGCAGGATCTACCATACTTAAAAGTTATTAGAAAAAAATGGGTTAGTGAAAAGTCAACAAAAGAAAGTGGGATGAGTAGAGATAAAGACGGTGAATGAAAAGGAGCTTAACACTGGTGCTATTCATTTTATAACAAAAGAAGTTGCATGAAAAGAGCGATTTCCAATTTGAAAAGTATGTGGCAAGGTGTACAATGAATAGGGAAGTAGTTAACAAATACTTCTAGAGAGAAGCAGGTTTGTGTAGGCAGTAGAATAAAAAATATCACAAACTTATAAAAATCCGAGACATAGATATTGGATTGGAAGGAAAAATCATTCATACTACTTAATAAGATAGAAGTAAACGGTCAACAAGAGAAAAGTTTTAAACACAGTTCACTGGCTTTATTTGTTCAAAAGATATCCTCACTCTTCTACTTTTAGTTAACTTTTTATAACGAAAAAAGGGTAAAAGATAAAGGGTACTATATTAAGGTATGTATACTTAAGGACAAAATGCACAACGGTGTTGTAGCAAACCATTTTCAAGGCACTCACTGTCAAACGCTTTAGCTCAACAAATGCTAATCATTCACTATACAGAACAGGGTACCAGAAACAAAATGAATTTCATGAGATCCTTGAAATTACATTATCATTCATTCTTCGTTAGTTTATCGATAACTTCTGTTCACCATAGATAGTTTGTTGTTATTAGGATCGTTTTGAATTTAAATCAAGTTCACCAGGATTAAGGGTCAGCAGTAGTATCCATAAATTCTGAGGCTATTGAAAAGTTTTTGTCGTTATCGTTATGCGTAAAAATTTTGCAGAATGGTTTCCACTATCTACGAATATAAAAATCATCAAATACGTCTAACAGATAACTTTGCAACCACGGCATAACCGTGACGGAACACGAACGGTATTTAAAGGTCAATATTATCACGTAACGAGTGCTCAAACATCCATTTGGTGAGTCCCAAATAATAAGAAGCACATATCCTGAGTGTAAGTGCTTAAAAACAATTATGGTCTAATGCTTATCCGCTCAAGTTGGATATATATTAAACTAGACTGATCGACTGTTGTCTTGAATATCAACAATGAGACGATTCTCAGTTTTCGTATCAATTAAATTAGAGCTATTATTCTGCTCTTCATTAAAAAAAAGCAATCTATAAGCATCACATAACTACGGCTTCTTCGAACTTTGTTAGCAGCTTCCAAATCGTTTTCATCTTACTTCTTAACTTGAGTGAAACTCGTTTCTAATAACATTACTATTCGTAACATTAAATGGTTTGAGAATGAAGAACGTTTTGATCTGCGATCTAGGTATTTTATGTTACCGATTTTTGTTTTATTGAAGAACAATACTATTGTGGTGTGAGCTACTTATAAGTAGTATATGACGTGAGTGTCAACGTAATGTCTGGCAGCAGAAGATAGGGGAAGATCAAGAAAGGAAGAGTGGGAACACAATGGAATTTGTATGAAACGCATGAATAGTGACAATGGATTGATGTTTTGCAACAGGAACAGTCCAGTTCGATAGGATGGACTGATATTTTGCAAATAAACGATTTACGATATGGTTTTCCGATTTTACTGGGTAACTCCGTAATTTTTGCTAAATACAATTTCGTTGTCCTCACCTGTGTTCTTCTTCACTACACTATCACTCAAAAGCTGCTCCAGCATTAATCCACATGATATTTAGAGGATATTTTTTCAGTTTCTGAATGATTCATTGGAGGATTCAAGTGATAACCTCAAATGATAGCTTACATTTTGTTTGTAATCAGTGCTGGCTCTACGCTGTGAACATCAATTGCTACAATGCAGTCACACAAAGCCGATGGTTTTCAGATAGAACGAAACATATGTCCTGAATTTCATTGCTAGTCACAAATCTAATTTGCTAAAAATTTATTGTTAAAATGGTAACACTGAGGGATAAAAATAAAAACTCTTGAAAATATATTCACAATATGTTTTATTATTTCCAAAAATCATATGCGTCGATAGCACAAGAAATCAAGTTCAAGAATACCAAATCCCTAATATAACACAAGTTTGATTAATAGGCATCTAGATATCTTTATTCAAAACAAGTCATCGTTTTTCTGATCACTAACTGTTAAAATATCGAAAGATAACAAAAATATATAAGAATACCGATAATCTGTTAAATATTCAATGTACAACTAGTAAAAAGGAGATAAAATTACTCTTAGTATTTAGATTGAGAAAAGTAAATTTGAGTTCTTTGTGAAGATAGATGTTGTGTGAAAAAATCTATATTTCACATCATCCATTTTAAAAATGCATTCAAGTATCGATAAAAGACAGTGTAAGTAGATTGTTAATTAAAAGTGTTTCGAGAACTGCTTGGTTGTGGATATTTCTCATCTTTTCTTCTTTCAAGTACGTTTAGAATGCTTTGAATATTGTCTGAAATCGTAAAAATGAAACCGTCAATAAATTGTGCCTTGTGGAGGAAGTGGTTAGAATATATAGACACAAAATCAGAACAACAAAACTTAGTTTATGTAGTTTTCATCATGGACTGATCTTGGACAACCATGAGGATTAAGAATCATTAGAGAGCGATAACATCCTACTGTGGGACTCTACAGGAATGAGAAACCATCATAGGGAATTGAATCTAAGGCCCCCAAGCAATGAGGCAAGTACTTAAACTTTAGACCATCGGGTTAGTGATCAGTGGTTTATTTCTAACTTTATTTAATCTGTTACTGGTTTACTGACCCTGTGAATGTAGCACAAAAGAATCATGATAAAAACGAATTCAAACGTTTGGTAAACATTGTGAATACGTTTAGTATTTGTAGACCAGAATTAGATACAGTGATCATTAAAATAAATACTTTTAAATGTACGAATTTATATCATTCGATAGGTTAGTTTTTGTTTAGTATTCATTTTCATTCAATGAGAACAAAAGCAAAGTAGATACCATTCTTCTTAAATTTAGATATTATTGTTCATGAAGAACGTAGCAAACACATTAGGATTATCATTAAATCTTGTTTGAAGTTATTGTCGATAATCCAAACCATTAGTGATATGTACTTTGTGCGATACCATGTAAGGAGTTGTGGTGAATCAATGAAAACTTATTCAACATAGTTATCCTTTATTCCATGTTAATAATTCACGGTCTTCACCTTTCCCCACCTATGACAGACAATAAAGAGATATTTAATGCTTAACCGATCAATCCTTGTCAACAGTTCTACATCAAATAACCGACATGTATAGTATACAAGTATTTTAAAAACAAATTTTCGTTTTTTGTTTCAAGTAATTTTAAAGTTTAATTTACATTCCATCATCAGAAAATTAATTATATACTGAAGAATATATAGACTGAGCATACCTATATCTGTTAGAACTACGACGTAAAGTGTTAACTATATTTGCAGACATTTCTTTTGTATCTGTCAGATCAGGCATTCGTAAATTGGATTCCGTTATCCCAGGACAATAGATGATTGTCTTTTCGGGATTAGGGTGTGATAGAAAATCCTTAGAATAATGAATTAGTTCTGTAGAATTCTTTGAAGACATGATCAAAGAACTTTTATCAAGGTCAACTGAAGGTCGGCGTACATTTGTTGGGAGTCGTGAATAAAAATAATTCAGTACAGAATCTGGGTCAGATCTTCGTAATTCAAAAACCATGACATGCTGTCCACTTATTGGAGTGGCATTATGTCTTGCCCATATTTGATAGGTTACAAGAGATAAATGCTTCGATTCAAGTGGCAGATTAGCTGCAGCAGATGTGGATAATTTAACTAAAATAACCCGGACAGCATATTCTACTTCTCGATCTTCAGCTTCACGTACTAGGTCCTAAAATAATTAAACATATCAAAAAGTAAAATAAGACAGAGTAAGCAGATAAGGGATGTAATTTGTACAACCTAGTATATATATATATATATATATATATATATATATATATATATATGCGCCATGTCACATAGGCATAGCAAGGTGAAATAAACAAGATCAATGAATTAGCACGTGGTGAACGCAGTTTGAGAAAAACAAATGCAGTCGACGGTAAACCAAACTAAAACAGTAAAATTTAAAATTAAGTGTTATGTAGAGCAAATGCATTTGTATGGCATCGACTTATTTTGAGCCATGACACCCAATTCGACCAAACAGATTACGATGGTCTTTAATAAATCCTCTACTAAGATCGTTTAAAATATTAAATTTCTAAGAGATTTCAAATTCTATACTTTTCAAAAACAGGAACTAGGTGAGTCAGTAGCAAAGTAGAAAGTGGTGTGTACATACATCAATTCAAGTTTCTGTACTACCTTAGAATATAGAGATGAAATTGTCAAGTTAAAGCCCAGAGTAGTAGAGATAGTAGCAATGTTATCGGTAGCGGAAAAGATTGGGAATTAAATATATGAATAAAGAGGTTAAAAATCAATGGAACAAACTTTTATCAAGGTTATAAGGAATTCTGAAGATTAGAATTTCGGAGGAGACAAAGAATGGATGCACCTGTGCCATTACAAACCATTTCGAATCATATCATTCAAAGTCTCTAGCCTTTGGATACGACAATCATGCGGATCCTAACCATGTAGTCTACACCTGCTAAAACGGATATCTAATCTTGAATGACTTCATGGACTGATGGCAGGGCTGACAAGATGTCGAAAATGAGTGCAGCGATTAACAGACTCAACTGTTTCACTCCCTATCAATGATTTAGGCGCCAAAGCAATGCAATCCTGTGGCAAAATTTTAGGCTTGGAGGAAAAGAATCATATTCCAAACATGCTTGCACTGTTACTTAAGTCTCCTGGTAGACAGGTCCACCCCTCAAAGGTCAGACAAAGATAATGTTATCTCTAAAAGCAAGTCTATGACAAAGTTAAACAAGAATAGAGAGAGTGGGAAATCCTGACGAAAACCACATGAAGTGATCGATTCCAATGACAGTTCGCCATAAGCTCTGACTCGGCCAGTAGTGTTCGAGTGGAGAGCCTGCATAAGGTGAATGCACATCTTTGGGACACCTTTCAGTGACAAACACTGCCACAGAACCTCATGAACAACGGAGTCAAATGCCAGGAATACAACTATTGTTGGACGCCTAAATGTGTGTACATTCTAGCATCTAACGTAGTGTGAATATGTGGTCAATACACCCGGTCCAGGTCTGAAACCAGCTTGGTTTTCTCTAGTCTGCTCTTTACGAGCTCTAGTCAGACGTCGAAATAATATCGAAGCTAACATTTTGGACAGTATATTTGCTATCAGGTGTTAATCAATCAGGTCCTGCTGATCTCTGTCACTTCAGATTACCTACAGCCTTTTCAACCTCATTAGGAGTTGGAGAACTTACGTCAATATGAAAACAACTTTACTTAGAAGATCAGTTCATTTACAGAAAATAAATGGTAGTCAGTGATATATTTTGATGCTTAATCAGTCTAATTGCAGAGGTGTAGCGTAACATAAACTGTTCAAAGTTGTAGACTTAAGTTTATTAAGCATCAGGTATACGAAAACTGAAGCTCTATTTATGTATTTAAAAACTACCCTGGTGATATTGATTTATTATCAAGAGTGATTTTCACATTTTATTTATTTTGTCTTACTTTCTAATTTGTCTAGTTGACCTTCGATTTTTTTCTTCATATTGTTTTAACAATTTTATGTGATCGAATTGTTCGAAATGAATTGCAAAAACATATCAACATAATCTTCGCCTTCTCATTGCACTATCTACATTTATCGAATGGACTTACTATTTTAAATTATACTTATATTCCTATTTTCTATTAGCTCAGCTAGTTTATCGCAGGAATACCCCAAATTTTCAGGGTTATGATTGTTGGTATGACAGATAAAATCATGGATCATATTAGGTTTCCGAGAAATATAAAGTTTATCATTTAATATCAGAGAATACCATTTGCTATAAAACACATGCAATTAATGATAATGGTGAATAATATAGGAAACTATATATGAATGAAAATATCTATAAACAAATGGAAAACAGTAAATAACGAGTTAAATTCACTTACTGAACCTGCTTTTGTTAGTAAATCACATGTCCAATTTAAATTCCAAAATATTTGAGCTAAATGAAACGCTAATTTCAGAACATTCTGAGTTAATACAAATGATTCCGATGATAAAGTTGGATTCACCGTACCCGAAGTACCGGAGTAAGACAACGATATATTGTTAGGAGAGTTTGAGACATCAGATGCACAATTATTAGGTGATGTCGGATTCGTAGCACTGCACGGGGTATTGGTACCGCATTCACTCAATGAACGTTGACTAGATCCTAGACCAGATCGACGAATATAATTAGTTGTAGGGTTACGAAATGGGCAAGTGTATAAATCATGAAGAGTTTCAACAGTACGTGATTCCCATCCAAGTAGTATGCGCCATTTAGGATTGAATATAATGCAATCAGACTGAAAGGAAATCGATAAAATAACTATAATTCTAACACGACAGGAAAAACTAGTATGCAAGAGATCGCTTAAAAAAAGTAAACAAGTGCTTTGTAGGAGTTATGCTGGTCATACCAACCATTTTAACATAAGATGTAGTGGTATTTCGTTCTCTGAGCCAGATGTTCTATCTGAAGTTCGTGCTGATGTTGTTCAGAAGAACAATAAAAGATTCACAACCAAAACATCCAGCTCAGAGAACGAAACTCCACCAAAATGAAACTAATGAATAATAAATCTATTGAGAAAAAAAACAGGGAAAGGTAAAAATTATGATTAATATCTATACAACTGATTACCTAGTGTGAGAATTGACTGAGTTAAACCATTGTTTAAACTAAATGACTGATGATGTTCCCCTCATTCTGGAGCACATATTTAGACACAGATAATGCTCTAGCACGAGCACGTATTTGTCTGCGACTTACTGGACGTGAGAAAGACACTGCAAGGAAACCCCTTACACCTCTACATGACGATCAAAAGGCCAAGAGTATATTTCGAGAGCAACTAAAAATGTTACACAGCCAAGTAAGCGATGCCCGGCTCCAAGGTAGCATGATATGATATTCACGAAGCTATGAAAACAGCAGTGATATCTGCTAGTAAGGTAAACCCTAAGGTTGGGAAGAAGCAGTAGGTGTCAGTAGCATCTACTGAACTGATAGACGCTCGGAAACTAATTCCATGTTGTTTTGAATACAATCAGGAGTAGAGGCAGCTTAAACGCACGCTGATAAAAAGCCTACAGGATGATCGCGAAGGGGTGAGTAGCGAAAGTAAGAGAAATGGGAAAGAAAGCGAAGATAGGCAACAGTAGACGACTATTTAGACTTATCAATCAAACCAGAATTAGGAATCCAACTGTTAGTGAGACTATCTCGGAAAAGAATGGACTTATTATTCATTCTCAATTCAAGAAATCGGATCGATGAGTAGAACACTTGAGAAAGTAGTTCGGTTACCCATGATCTTCAGTCGACTTGAATGGAAAGTTGGTGTAAGTCCTCCGACTCTCACTGAGGTTGAAAAAAGCTACAGAAAATCTACGGTAAGGGAAATCAGCAGGCCCTGATAGTTTTAAGGATGGTGGTCCAGTTTTTAGCGGTGAGATCGACAGTTCCATCTTTCTGTGCTAATGTGTCATAGAAACTTGAACTGATTTACATACGTACCACGTTCTGTGGTGTTGCTGACCGCGTAGCTTATGTAACATCGGAGATACGATGCTAAAGTGCTATAAACTCCTAATTAAATATCATGAATTCATATATATTAATGAAAATACTGGATAGATGTACGAATAGTTTAGACTGCCAGTTCTGACATCAAATAAATTGCATTCGAGTGATGATTTGTGATAAGTAACAAAATTCTAGACAAAAATAATCACTTAGCTATATTCGAGTGAATGTTAATAACATAACGGTATTAATCTGTATTGAGATAGAGTTGGAACAGAAGCTGATCAAATAAGTTAATCATCTTTCAATTATTTTGATGGCTTAAACTCTCTCCTACCTATATTTCAGTATTAGATTTTACATTAAAAAAATAATGGTTCACAAAGTCATAGAAATATTAAAATAAATTTCTAAAAATGAGATAAAATGATATGCAACCGAAAAGCATCAGGTAAAAGGAAATACATAAACCTCAGGATTCATTATTTATAAGTAGTAGTAAACTGTTTGGTAAAATGTTATTACGGTGAGTATTTATTCAAATAAAAAAAACAAGTATATATATATTAACAAATCACTTACTAAATTATACGAAACTTGTGTGGGGCTCTTGCAGACAGAAGTCATGTAGCAATACACTAATTTATCCATATCCAAACTTAAACCAATTGCATAAGGACACTTATCTATAGTCAATGCAGTTATATTCAAATTATTAGATGTAGAACTACATCTAGATATTTTTCTTGGTAACCTGTTCAAAATGAATAGACAGTGTTTATTCAATAATATAAATATAAAACTGGATAACTATTGAAATATTTTAATTAGTTATGTATGGATATGAATGTATTGATGCCGGGATGAACCCCAACGAATCTGATAATCATATCAGATAATTAATTAATTAATTAGAAATTATCTTATTACTTTGGTTCATATTTTGAATTTAGTGAGAAACACAAAGCGAGAACTTAACACCAAAAATAACCACTATATTTAATGTATTGTTTTGAGGACATAGTTTTTTCTATAGCCATTCAACTTTGTCATGAGTTACGCTTCGAAGATTTATTGAGTTGTAAGGTGTAGTTATGACATGAAAAGATCATCAATCGATATTAGTGGATAGTATCAAAGTTATCACTAAGCTATGAACAAACAGTTTGCTGTTTACGTGCATTTTAGTGTGTTTATTTATTCACTTACCGAATAGTACAGAATTCCTTCTGTACACAGTGTTTAGCGATTAAATGGTTATACTCGCCTCCTTGTCCTAAAACATACATCATTGTAGGTGCGGTTGTATTGATATTTACTTTAGAATTCACTTCAACCTGACGTGGGTAATAGACGGAAGTAGAGGAACTGGGTACAACTGATTTCGGGGATAAATCCCCTAGTGCGACCAACTGAAAAATCAAGCCACTGTACATATGATGTGGTAGAACTAATCCGGGAGTAAATCGAAGCTAAGAATTAAACACAAAACAATGAGTAGAAATTAGTGAAAAATACTTTTTTATTGGTCTAGCTTAAGTTTATTACAGTTAAACATTGAAATGACGGCCTAAACAAGCATGCTAATACTCATCAAGGTTTTGTGCTGAAAATACCAGTTGCGTTTATTAGAACTGGAATTCCTACAATTATTTACGTAATTAGTTTCCGATGATAAAATGGAAGTATGTCTTGAATGCAATGATTATATGAGATCATCAACGAATGTAATCTACGAAGGAAACAAGTGATCAAAAAAGATAATAAATCTGTTGAAACGTTTGAGCGCTCATATGAGAATAACGTACCTAGAATGTTTTTATGAATACAGTAGTACATGAAAATAAGTAGTAACATTTCTACAACTCCCTATTATCAAAAATGATCATTTGCCGGAAATAAAGTCAATACGATAGAAGTCTGTCAATTAGAAGAGGATAAATTCATCTACTATGTTTATTTATGTTTCAAATATACTTTGGGTAGATGCGTATAAACTTATGACCTCGTTACTGAGAAAGAACTATCTGGAAGACTGATTGGCTATCTTCATAGCATGTACACAGAAGGAAGTGCATAAAACGATATCTTTTTAAGATTGGTTTGTTATCCAAAAATTGAGGTACATATTAACAAAACATATACAATTGACAAAGCATATGTGACAATCATAACATACATGAAATCTTTCTGACCAATCAAATTTTGTATAAATATCTGCTAACTCTTCCAATAATTTAACAGCACCATCTACTAATTTACTAACTGCATGACATTGTTGAACTGAATGCTGTGTAAATACTTCACGTATATGGTAAATGTGTGAAGATTCCAGACGAATTATTTTCATAAAACGCTTTTGTGCATGTCCACGGGGTTTACTTGTTAAATATTCAGGTAAAATGAGCGAACGTGTCGGTTCATTCAATCTTGATGATACCGATGATGAATAATTAGAAGATGAAGAAGAGTAAGGTGTTGTTGCAGAATATGTGGTAGGGCAATTCAATGAAGTAAAAAAAGATGAATATGTAGATGGATTAACAGGTTTTGGATCAGCATTTGCTTCCGATAAATGACGCCAAACAGTTGCACGAGATCCAGATTGAATTCCAGATAGTTTAAATAATGCTTTGATCAGGTTGGTATGATTTACATACAGGAAAAATGTTACTTCCTTTTAAAAAGATCAATACAGAGAATAAAAGTCAGAAAAATGACGTAAACTCAAAAAACTTTTTCGCATCGACTCAAACTCATCAATTCACTGCTAAGTGATTGTTCAAAACTGTAACTAAATTATTAGTAAGATATCTATTAGCAAATCAATTGTAGAGCTACTGATAACATGAAGCACAATACAACTATTTTCTCTTACTAGATTACTCAGTTGCTAATTAATTTGAGATAAATTGTAAGTCAGTTATATTAATCAATCTATAATAGAGAACTTCGATACATTTTGAAATTATAAATTATCATGATTAAAATAGAACTGTCTAAAATCATTCCTATCTAAAGAAATATTGATTCAAACAATCTGAACATACGGAATTGTCTGCTTCCGAAAAATCGATTAGTATGAAGATTAATATTAAGAACAATTGTCATTTTAGGAAAGAAGTTGTAGCTCTGCTAATTTATTTCAGAATAAAAGGCAGTATATGAGAATGGAAAGGACATTTTATTCTGAAATGCCTTGGTACGACTGAGGGTGGGAAAAGTTAACCCTAATTCAGAAAATGCTGTCATATTGCCACGCGTATATTTCTACTGTCGAAGAGGTCCTACTTACTACCTTCTGGTGGCGGGTCTGTTATTTCCGAAATCGAGGACCAACAGACAATGTCCGGGGCCCATATACAAATTACTTGTGAGTCGCATATGTATTTTGGTGTGCCTCTATACCAATGTTTATGTTTGAATAAATAAATGACATTTTAATTCTTTTGAAATAGTTGTCACTAAGACAACTGAATGTTACTTTTGTTTTATTTTGATCGAGTTTTTGTAAACATCCACTATTTTATGATTTTTAAAAGATGTTCTATTTGTACAAGATACTAACGAATACTATCGCCAAACTATATCGATGATAGAGGTTTAACGTAAGTTATTAGTTTTCAATGTCACTTTTATTGAAATGAAATCTGATATTTCTAAAGCTTATGTCATGTCAATAAATCTACATGACGATATGTGGTTGTCATATGGATAAGTTTTAGAAATGTAACTACTTCACGGTACTGAGAAACATGTTCATTTGGAGATTTCAATAATGTATAAACTGACCAAATTAAAATGTATAATCAAATAAAAATATGAATATATTGTATTTAATCACATACTTTGGAGCGAAAGAGTTTACTTGTCACTTCACGTAAGATGATAAACAATTCCACAGCCCAGTAAGTGCTTAGAAAACAAAAGGTAAAGTGTTAGACAAAGCACCAAACATATGGTAGGGTGAAAAAGTATCAGTAGGAGTAGATGAAAAGTTTTACATGGCAGAATAGCACGTCAGATTAAATTGTAAAGGAATACATACGAACAAGTCTCCACATTTTACAACCCTGTTACATTTGTGCAGTACATTTTATGTATTTAGGTATGTAGATTAGAGTGACGTAGGTAGTGATTCAATTCACATGCGCATTTGAAGCATAGATCTTTTGAAGTAGCATATGGTTCCAAAAAAATTCTTGAATTATTTAGAACAACCTAAACATGGATGTGATGGCTATTGCAGATAGCTTATATATCGAGTGAAGACTGGATTGCATTTCCAAGTTACAGAGAGGCCTTTCTGTAAACCTTAATGCAACATAATCGAGATATTGTAAAAACTAGTAGTTGGAGAATATCACGAAGTGAATTGTGAACTAATGGGTGCAACGGCTAGGTGGTCTAAATGTTGGATGTTCATTGAGAAACCTGGAAATATCAACTACTGTTTAGTATGTTATGTATTTAAATGCTGTTTGTTTCAATAATTTTTATCACAACTTCAAAAAGAAACTAACTGCAGTTACTTTATACAATGATGAAACGCAAGCATAATATAGTGACCAGTCCATAAGAATCTAACCGGTAATCTGATTACTTAAATAAACAATGTGAAGTACCGTTGAACAGGATTTTACTTTGGAAGTCATAAAGAATAAAGATCAAAATAATGACAATAATGACAGTTACCTGTTTTCTAGCGAAACAATATCAAACGTTGCTCGATTAACTTCTATCGGACAACCAAATAACATATGGGGTCCGCTAGAATTTGAAACTGAAGAACTGTGGTAAGTTCGTCCAAATTCATATCGCTTCAGTGGATCCGATTCATTTCTATTTTCAAGCAAAATTGATCCCGATCGAGCCAGATAGCGCGCAAATGGTATATGTAAAGAATCAGGCAAACGAACAGGTAGACCGTTTTCATCCAGCAAGACAGGAGCCGCTGATAAACGATCCCAATACTCAGTATCTTGATTATCATTCACATCAAACATATCACTGTTATCCTGTTTTGACTGGCTAAACCATGATGTTTGATAAGGTCTGTGAATCACTGGAACAAGTGTAGGCGATTCCAACAGAACACCACCATGTGCGATGAATGAAGTCTCCACAACATGTGTAATAAATCTGGTTAAAAATCATTTTTCAAAATGTACGAAATATTAGGATATACATACAATAAAAAATATTGACAAAAATTGTTATTACTGATTACAGTGCATTAAGCTAGAACATATAAGCTTCCACAAGTACGAAAAAAATTTAGTTAAATATCTCAAGGTCATATTTGTGCTATAACCGTGCAGATTAGTCATTTTATTAATCTCAATTTCGATTATCAGAACTATATGACCCTGGAGCAATCTTTTCACATATTTACTTGTTACAGTATTTATATATGAGAAAATGAAGATCAACTGGACAAATTCAAAAATAAGAGCAGAACAAAGATGAAAAGGAAAACAATGGATAATACGAAAAAAATACTACCAGGGTAAGTTTAGTGTGAATACAAATAGGTCTGGAACATTTAAGAGAGTGTGAACTACTGTATGGTTAAAAGGCTGAGTTAAAATCAATCGTATGACTAGGTTTAACGAAACAAACAAACTAGGATGACCCAGTAAGAGCAGATGACAAACACTCATCTTTATATATTGCTAGAAATATTTGAAACAAGTTATTAGTTCGCTATTTTCTGAAAATTTTGATGATATATTTTATAAGTACTTTCGTGTTATTTAGAAATTATCTGCTCCATGTTTTAACGGATGAAGTGGACTAGTATTACTGATTATTTACTGATGTTTGTTGGGTAACACACACCAACCTAGCGATTCCTTTAGATTGTAAAAGCAAAGATCATAAACAGAAATCACAAAGGGATATGTCTAAAAATTAGACGGTGTTATCTAGCATGAAGAGGAAATTACAGACCAGAAACTCATAAATATTCATTGATGAATTTAAAGCTACATTGCCCTGATAAAACAGGTGTCTACCAGTATCAAAGAAATTTCGTTCCACATGATCTTCAAAGAGTTTGATAAACCTTCAAGTAAGAAGCAATACCCAATATTTGCTCTTCCATAAGAAGTCTATAGTGGACGATTATTGCTTACTTTTCGAACAGATTAGATTTATTTACTATTTTTCAGTTCTCCATACATAATACACAGTAATCATGTAATATGGGTTGAAGCACTGAAATATAAATGAAATAACTGTCACTGTTAACTAGTTATTGTTAGTAGTAGAGGACCCGAAGATTAAGTCTTTCACAATTGGAATACTTAAAAATACTGATTTGTTTGAAATAGCTTTGAAATAGCTTTTCTTTTGAATAACTCATTCCTTTTCGTATATTTGAACGAATGCACTTTTATGAGAAACATACTGATATATCTATCTGTTTGAAGATTATTCTTCATGTAAACAAAAATAGTTACGTGACTGGTAATAATAGAGTACGAAAACTTCAGACTTCATTAGAGTAAAGTTGTATCCGTGATAAAATAATACCATACATGCATACACCTCTTACCTGCGTGTTTTAAAAAAATTATATAATACACGATTTGGATCTTCTTGCATAAAACAATCTTTATTCAATAATTGTGATAAAACACTTCCATCATTTTGATTGATATCTTGTTGAATTGATGTTATCCATGTGTTGCAATCATATAGTAAATCCTAAAAAAAGACAAACGAAAAACAGATATAAAGTGGAGTAGTACCGCAGCTGTGTGAAACAAGTAAAAGTGATTTTCTAAGTATCCAACAGCCAAGCTACATATACTATAAGATATAGAATTATTCAGTCATCTTAGTTTAATAGAAAAATCGAAATTTCTGTCAAAAACGAACTTACTGATGCTCCTGAACAAGCTTGAGAAAAAAGTGTATGAGTAACAAAACGATATAAATTGCTATCGGGAGTTTTACAAATTTCAATAAGTTGCTTTTTAAATGCTGCTTCAGTCGACTTGAATGGTGGGACACGTGAAGAAGTTAGTAGGTCCTATAAGAAGAGAAAAGACGAATATACAGAGAAAACTTAATTCCTACTGAAAAAAAAGAAAAATTGTGCGTAATTTACAAATTTAGGTACAGAATGCATTTATTGTGACGCATAAAGAGAGCGGTTTAATAGAGAGAATGCGTTGATAAGTACTTTTTTCATTCAATAACTCCTCGTATTTTTTCAAATGTTTTACGTAAACTGATTTTTTCATGTTAGTATGTAGTTGTGGAGACTGTTGAAACTATGAACCCATCCAAGTCAAACATCAGGAGGCATTGAACGGCCGGGACTTTCGGTTTCCCGTACAAATACCTAAGCACCTCTGATTTATAAGTTGTGTTTGTGTTTCCGCATGAGTATTCGTGTATTTGCAGTGTAGAGAAGTTCCATACTCGGATAAAATGTCCGTTCAGTTACCTTCAAGTTTTTAATTGTGACCTATCTTAGATTAATTTATGATTTCAATGACTATATATCATTCTTAAGTTATACAACTCACCATTCATAGCTAGTAATATATATCTGGTTTCTATTTCATAATGTCCATTTCTAATCACTGATTAGAAATAATCGTAACTGTTTTATTTTTATTTCGCTGCAATCTTTGATATTTTAATGCTGTTAATAACCACATTATAAATTACTACGGAAAAATTGTAAGCATCTGCAATTGTATAGTTTAAGAAACTGAATTCTACGCTGAACCGATCATTTCCTTTATGATTAAATGAGTACTTTTCATTCAGAATGTTTTCAGATGACTTCAGTCTTGAAGTTGTACTTAATTTTAATTGGTGCTTGTAGAAAATATTTGTGACTGTACAACTCTGACAATGAAATCACCTGAGATATATTTCAATAATATTATAACACCCACTTTCTATCAGCAGGAATTAGTGTTGAAGTGTATGTAAAACTTAGAGACGATTTGATGTGCGAAAAAAGTATACTACAACAATAGGATCTCTCACAGATCTATTATGAGTAGATTACTTTATATCTAGCTTGAAAGCCAATCAAGTGAATGTTCTTTTCGACGATTTTCAATTGCACGAATGCTGTGTAGATCGTGTTGATTGATATATCCAGCAACTATTTTGCAGTAATGAAATATACCTTTAAGGTGAAAAATGGGCTGAACAATCACTTAATTGACAACAATTACTAACAAATATTTACTCACTGAAACTAGGCGCTAGGTTACCAACTATCGTAAATCAAGTCCGACGCTGTGATAGAAAACATGTAAACATCACATTCAAACACAATAAACATGCAGAAATTGCAAAGTGTAAGATCTCCCAAACAAAGATCTCTTTGTTGAATACTCTATCATGTTTCCAGTCCATAGATATCAACAGGAAAATATGCTAGGATTTTCTTCATTTTTCGCGCAGCATTTTCAACACTAAGCAAGATATTTATTCGTAAACTATTAGTGGAAGTATGATTTACATTAGCCTACCAAAGTTAAGTTTATTTGAAAAAAGGTGAAATGAATAGTTATTACCACTATAGGAAACTGTATGACGTACAGAAGCACTTGGCCTTTTAGATGGATCATGTTGAAGCATAGTACGAATTAACCAGGTTTGATTGACAAGTTCATCTTGAGACCAATCTTTTGGAAAGATAATCTTTTCTTTCCTTAATTCAGTAAGAATTAAAACACGTTCCATTGCCGTTGGCATAGCACGATAAAACATTTCAAAAAGAATTACTCCCAAACTGTAGATATCAACCCGCTAGCGTTTGTGGAATAATAAAAAAAATAAGCGGATAAAGCACAAAAATTTATACACATAAACTAAACTAGAAAAAAATGCACTGAGAAAAGTACAACGACTAATGGATTTACAAATGTATTGAATGTACTCTGGGAAAAAAAACTAGCTTGGAGTGGTAAAAAGTGATAAATATTTGTGGGTTTACAATAAACTGAGAGTGTGTAGTGTATTGAAGATTTATACAAACTTAGTTCCTTTTGTATTAACAAGTAATGATTAAAGTGCTCATATAAAAGATGATGCATCTTACAAATTAAGTGCATTAAACAGAAGATTTTAATTTTTACGCAACACCAATGTTTTAACTTGTGATTCAATGTTTATTGATATTTAATTAACAAAATAGGCTAGCTTAATTTATGTGAGTATGTAGTGTGACAAGACGACTTTTAGGTAAGCTAGTTTTTGCTAATAAATGTCGACTTTCTTTATATTCCCATTTTCGTATTGGCCCTTGTGGCAGTTAATTGATCGTTCTCACTCTGAGATTTCTAGTTTTGTCTGTAAATTTGACTTCCTAAATATTTGGTTTTTCCTCAACTACTGACTACCCATTGACTTAGATTGTTGAGCGATTGCACGTTAGATAAGATTGAAAATCATATGAAAAGTAAATAAATATTGGATTCTGATTTTGTAGGTCATTTACCAACTTATTTAAACAGTTTTTTATATTCACATTATTTGTTACACACCATATACACGAAATTGGTTATCGTTCATTTAAAATGACTAAATTAAGCATCTCTATAGTAGGATAGATAAAAGAATTAAAATTGCCCTTGTAACTTCATATCAACTGACACTTGAATTTTAGAAACAGTAAGCGTGAATGACATTTTCAGGTTACATATTAAACATAATGAAGCTATCGCAGATATCATGTATACAAAAAACAACAACCTACCTCATCATAAACACGATTTTTTTGAGAATCCAAAAGTAAAACTTCAGGACTTATATATAAGAAGGTGCCAACGTTGTGAGTCATGGAATGATCGTAGAACTTCGCAGCATTTTCATTCTGGCCTGTAGAATTCGGTATATCTTCATGTGCAACTGGTGAAAACTGTTGTATAGAATCTAAGCATTCTGTCTGTTTATTACATTTCTGATTAAAATATGAGAAAAGTAAAACAAAATACTTAATTCAAAAAATGTAGAGGTTTGGTTACATGTGTGAAAGCTAATGATATTAATCCGCTTCACAAATCAATGCAGGTGAGATGGGTTTTGGAGGTACAACGCGATGATTGCAGGATAAACAGTTGTAAGCATTATAAATTTCACACTAAAATTGATTGAAAATCAAGATGCATGATACAGTAAATGGTTTTGTTTGTAAAACAACTCGTTTACAATAGACACATTAAGGGCGCATAAGTAATAATCTTGATTTTAATCGAGAATTAAAATTACGAGTGGTTTACGACTATATGTCAGCTCGTTTACTAGATATACTGCTCATTGAAAATATGGTATTTCCCGTGTAAAGTTCTAAAGGTTATGTATAAAAGGTTATGTAAAGGTTATGTATAAAATGGTGAATTTTAAAAGTGTAAAATATAACCACCAATGTTGTGATATAAGTAAGAGTAGAGAAGTTTATCTGAGACTATATCCAGAGAATAGTGATGTTTAACGGTGTTATGTGTTAACCGGGATGAATAAGAACATAATTAAAAAAATGCTTACATGAAATTCAGCTGCAACAGCTTGGCGTGCATTCATTAGTTTTTCCTGTACAGTCCGTGTGGCCAAGCCGAAATCTACAATTTTCACATGATCATTAGAATCTAACATAATATTGGCTGGTTTCAAATCTCTATGAATAACACCTTTTGAATGAATGTATGCCAATCCATCTGTCAATTCACGAAACAAACTCCATGCTCTATCTGGACTGCATGATAAATTTTCAAAGTCAATCACATATCTCAATGATTTGGATGGACATAATTCCATTTGAATGATAATATACTAATAAATAGAAATACAGTATTAAAAAATTACAGGAACTGAAATAAGTTTATAAAACAATTTTCTAACAGTATTAATTAAGTCAGTAAGCTCGAGTTATCAGAAGGAACGACAAAGTAAAGTTGCTTATACTGATTTCAGCTTAAATTTACAGTGTCTTTCCACATTGTTTAGTAGAGAGGAGATAAGTAAGCACAGTCATTTTAGCACACTAACCTTCAAAACACTACTTGAAACGATCAGCATCAGAAGCAATGCCGCCTACTTACAACGGAAGGAAGGGGTCGAACTTAGCCATAGAACACCTAACCTTATCCCATGGATTTCTGTCCTCAGTAGCAAGGTCTGCAAAGTATAGAGCTAATACATTTAAAACCACTGATAAAACAGTTGTATTTGGCTGCTATTAAACAGTTGTTCATGAGATCTTTGTAGCACGAGATACCTCATTAAAATTTCTAGAATATAATATTATGTAGCTATGATTGATGAGTATCAGCTATTGTTGAGAACACAATTTCAGTTACAAGTAAACGCCCAACAAAAAATCCTAATCCATTTTAATCGACTCTTCTTTAAAACGCCATAATGCTTCTTGTGTGCTCCAAAGCCAGAAACTAAGTATGTTAAATTAAGCCTCACCATGGATAATTTTTAGTTGTGACGACCTACGTGAAACACTTCTAGTGTTTAAGAAAATAGGAAGTACATATATTGTACAGACAAAGTGGTAGCTGATTTTGTTTACTACATTTGTAAAGAGAATCTACTTGTTGTAAGAAAGTTTGCAATAACTTAACTAAATATTGAATCAAACCAACAAACAAAACATTAGAATATAAAATCACTTAATCATATGAATAAAAACTTACTCGATATTCTCGTACAGACTTCTCAATCTTATTGTCCTGTGAATCATCGCTACAGATAAAAAAACGAGTAAGAAAAATCTATTTGATACAACTGATATACATCACGAATTGCAACTTTACACAGGTACCGAGACACAAAATCGGATGAAAAAAATATCATTTCATTCACGTGGCTCATTGAAAACATAAATAAATACTCGTTCTGGTGAAACAACCAGTTGATATATTAGCGGAATAAACGATGATGAACAGACAGAAGGTGAAAAGGTTAAACAGTCAATCAATCAATAAACAAGAACAGTGCTCTTTCAAACATACAGTTTCATTATGAAAACAACCAATACGGGGAAAGGATTTATATTTAAACCTTGAATACATAGCAAGAAATTTATGAGCACTTATAACTAATATTACTTTGTGGATCATTGTGATAACGAGAGTAGATTATGCTGAATACAAATCGACGACAGGTACGATCAGAACCACAACCACTCACTTAGTAAATTATTATCGCATTGAGACACACAAATATCACAAGTTAATATTTAGTCTGAAATCACGAAGAATGATTACAACTCTTTGCATAAAAAGTTAACCAATCTGAAGCAACAATAAAAAAATGATTGAATAACTCCATTTAAATAATGCAAAGAAATAAAGTTTATCAGAACTACACTATGTACTAACATGTTGTTCACTTGTCATTATAAAGAAATTAGACTAAATTTATCAAAAAGGTTCATTGTTATCAAGTGAATGGTTTAAGCTGATCGATTTGAAATAAAAAAAGAAAAAAACTGTGACTACATATTCACCGACAACTTTCTGTCGCCTATAGTGAATACCCTTGTCTTGAAGCAATCACTAAACCGGAAGACAAATATCAAGTAATCGTAATTTTTATGCATGCCACATTAAGAAAAGTTAAAGGAAAAATGAAGGTTCCAGAGCATATAAATATTTCTTGTTATCCAGATAAATGAATGTAGCTCAAATCCGATTAGAGAAACCGTTACTGATTCACTAAGTTGATACATTATGATTGAATGATTGTTCAGATCTAATTGATCTTGATCTATTTCTAAACTTATTATGTTACAATATGTATCAAAAAGTAACCATCAGAGGAGACTTACATATTTATCTACCGATTCGTCCTACTCGATCACCAACGTATTAGCATTATTATAAATAAAATCATTTAAGAGCAGTATGAAGATAAATACTAAGTAGCTGACGCTTCTATGAACCATTTAAGTATTAATAAAAAAATCAAAATAATTCACAACTTACTCAACATTAGAAGCATTTTTATTCACGAACGTATCACTTGTTTTTTGATGATTAACATAAGTATCTGCAAACTCAGTAGATGAATCAGAAAGTTCCGAAGATGCACATGAACATGATAGTGATGTGAGTGAAGATGAAAAATCATTTATATGCTCGGTCTCATCGCTACTTTCTCCAGGAACTCGAAAAAAATTATTACGAACTACGTTTGTTGATTTTTTTGCTGAAGTAATAATTATAATCATAAGAGGTTTATTAGTACCGAAATTAAAATAATTCATTATTCAGAAATAAATATTTGTATCATCAATTACCTTAAATTAAGAATTTTATTATATTTATAAGTTTTACTTGTACACACAAATCAGTCATACGAAAATAATCTAGTTCACATTATATTCACATTTTTGATGAACCCAATAGTGAGAAAACTCAACTAATTATCTGCTTAGTTACATCTGTACAGCTAAAAGTCATTTAGACAGATACTATATTCTACCACTATTTAATTGAATGATTACAAAACAATATGATGAAAGTTTATGCTATTAATGGAACAGTGGCTTAATGATTAGGAAGTTTGAATCTCAGCCATTAAGTCGTTTTAGCAGCTAGATAGGCTGAAATCTTAGGTAGATTTCGGGAACTGGACGTAATCCCATCCAACTGGTCTCAATCGCTGACTGTCCCAATTTATAAGAAAGGGCAAAAGTACTAATGTAACAATCACTGAGAAATAAGTCTGACTAATGTCGTTTCTAAACTGTTAGCTTCGATTATACTTAGACGATTAATGAGAGCTCGTGAAGAGCAGACTCGAGAAAACCAGGCTGCTTTCAGACCTGGAAGTGGATGCACAGACCGAATATTAAAACCACGTGAGGTCCTAGAACAAAGACACACGTTCAGACGTCCCACAGAACTAGTATTTCTCGACCTTAAACAGGCATTTGACTCTGTTGATCGTGAGGTTCTGTGGCAGTGTCTGTCATTGAAAGGTGTACCAAAGAAGTACATTAACCTTATACAGGCTCTCTACTCGAACACTACAAGTCGAGTGAGAGCTTATGGCGAACTTGCACGACGAGCTGTGTTTTGTAATGTAGGAATAGGTTGGAAGAAAGCTGGGGGTGTCCAGACCAAAACATGGCAGAAATCCATGAAGTCACTGACGAGTGGATTGAGTCATGTCGGTTGATGTAGAGACTACGTGGTTGGGGTCCGCGAGGCGACATTATCCGATGGTTAGAGAAAACTGGTAGAAATCATACATTACAAAATATTATAAAATCAATGCCAAGAACACTATCATAAAAACAAACTTTTAAAGAAAACATATTCAATCAGACAGGGTGAAACAATTTTTCTGCATTTTTTTTATGTATAATCGTTTTACGATTGTAAGCAGAGCTTAAATTAAATATTATTTAAAAATTTATTTTGAAATGGACACAAATGTGTTATAATAAATAAAGTCATAGAATATAATTTAGTCTCGAACAATAATAATAATTAGCAAGGAAAAAACATTCACTCACTTCCTATATACCAAGATTCATCATTTAAATGATCGGAAGAATTCTTAAGTATACAATTATCGAAATTAATACCATTTGTAACAAGTTCAGTTAGCTCGTCAAGTGTAGCGTTAATATGTGTGGGAGTTGTACAGGGTTTTGGGGATTTGTGTGTCACTGGGTTTCTGTACATATGATGATTAGTACTATCTTCTTCTTTATTATCTTCCGAACAAAAAGAAGTGCTTTTACCGTTACGACATTTCGAATCATCCCATTTTTTATTCCAATCAGAGCATGGCATATTTTTATGAGGAAGTGGTTCAGTGAATGTATCTTGCCAGGATGTGAAATATCTATTAAGTGATAAAAAAAGAAAACCAAATTAATTAGTCATTTATTAATATAGAGTGACCAGAAAGAAAATTACTTTGAAGATAAAAGAAAAAACATTATGTTATAAGTTGCATTTGTCAAAGATTGATCTCACCTGAATTACCAGCGAAAACCTACGTGTTATTGTTTTACCAGGTTATATTATCTATTCAGCCAAAAACTACATGTTGACACTTTTAATTAGATGCATTGAGTATGAAAGTGGTTACAATGATAGGTCACTGGGTATCTAGTTCATGGTTTCTAATTACTGGTTATAATGAGAATAAACAGAAATTGGTAAAATGAAACTAAGAAGTTAGATTCATTTCCAATCTATCACCGCAGTGCTTATTCGCAAATGGCTTCATAGACTAATTTCAATAACTAAATGAGAATTAACTAAAAACTCTCCGCGGAACATGCAATTATAAACATGTGTGATTGTTTTGAAGGTAACAATTTGATGAATCAATGATTTACAATAAAATAAGTGCACTGAATCTATTAGAATATAGTCAATATTGATAGAGGCTAGCTAATTGGTGTTGTTGAAAATGAAACTATGATAATTGATAATAACAAAGTATTCTTTATGATTAAACGAGTTTGTTGAGAAAAGCGTGAAGAATGAATATTCAGGCAAAACAAATAAAAGAAAGAAAGTTACCTAACTATATTTTCATGTTGTAAACCCGAAAGAGTACGAATTTCACGAAATAATGTATTTGTTTGACTTCTAGATGCTCTTACACATTTGATAGCATAATCACGGTCTTCAATAATATTCCGAGCCTTAATGATTAAAAAAACATTTCAAATTCGAAACTGTATTAGTTTTGATTAAATAAGTAGTTGACAAACCGACTGTATTATAATAGATTAGATTGGTAAAAGTATTAAATTAAATCTCAAAAGATTCTAGACGCACCTCAGTATTTTGTACATGCCAAGGAACAGCAAGAACACTTTCGTCATTAGCAAACATATTTGTATGTAGCCAAGAATACTGTCCGAGCGCTCACACAGAAGCATGGTTTTTTTGAAGGCGCCAGTCCAAGGTCTTTAAACTAGAGATCTAGTCCACAACTTTAAATGAAGTTGTATGGCACTCACTGGCCAAAATAGGTTAATAGGTAATTAGTTCCTTGACAACCTTGGAGTCCTTAAGGATTATCAGTTAAGATTTAGGGTATTTTAACTTCGCTAAATGGGCCCTTTGTAACTGCCAAACTGGTTCAAACCCCAGACATTTGATTTTCGTCCTCCTACTTCCGTAAAGAATACCCCAACAGAGAGAAGTCATGGAGTAGGAATTCTTTGGTAGTGTCAATAAAAGCGTAGACACAGGATAGGATTTCGGGACGGAGAGCAGACTCTTCACATACTCAGTGGTATCAAGGCACTTAGGGGCTTATGACAATCTTGTCCATCCTTTACGTTGTCGCGATATTGATCTGGTTGAAAAAGGTTTGGTTTATGACGCAGCAATGAAAGTAATTTTGCTATTTGTGAAATATGTCCTCTGAAGTGAGGAAGTTTGAAGAATGTGTTGGATTTTGTTGTCTTCGAAGGAATGCTAACATTCTGTGACAGTTCCATGTTAGTAATTCTGATGTTTGGCAGTGTGTTTGAGTGCAATGACGATAACTTGATTGATGTCACCATCTTGAAAGATTAGCTTCGGGGGATTGGACATGGGCTACGAATGTGATCGCGGCAACTTCCACATCCTGATTGATTTGCCGACGCCAGGGTTGAAGAAAGTCAAGAGATGGCAAGTTTTTGACATAGTGCCAAGGTATGAAAGCAATCTATGTATGACTAGCATCAATCGGTCCATCATGACTTTCTGATTGAAGTCATAGAGATGGTGCAACTTAGTGGTCTGGGACGTTATCAGACACGGCTCAAAATAGAAGCCAATGACGATTCGAATACTTTTCTAACATCTGTTGTGAATTCTTGACATAAGAGAACTTGGATTCAAAGTTCAAATTAATGGTACTTACTGGTGAGACATGTCTGAGATTCAAAAAACAATTCTTTTATCTCTAAACTCCAAGGCTACAGAATCAGACACGGCAGAAATATTATCACTGAGATTTTAGCACACGAGTTGAGCACTAACCAAAATCATAATGTTCCCCTTATTAATGGTAAACGAAAGTTGATGGTTGATCAAAACTACGACATTAGAATGAGTACTCATCTGAACTAAGTGTATCCTTCAGAAAGTCTCCTCAATGTACATAGCTTGATAAACATGTCACGCACCTTCAGAGAATCGGAACATCAGCCATGCTTAGTTCAAATAAGCTACCGATACCACGGAAGTTACTGTTTTATTATACGGGATGTATATAAAGTATTACATTAGAATAATTGTACTTTGAAGAGCAACTATATTCAAACTTCAAAATAAAATTTGGAAAATAAGAAATATATAGACAGTGGATTTATTGTACAAACTACATATATGATAAGCAAAAATATAACATGCATAACATAGTATTTAAATAAAAATGTTATCACTACTACTTCACGCTAAAACATTAACACTGCACAGATACATACAGATATTTATCGAAAAAATATGTCTAAAATGAAACACTTGACTAAAATAGTATAGCAATACCTTCAGTACACAACCAAAACCACCTTTTCCAATTAGAACAAAATCAGTAAAATCTTCAAACAATCGAGGGCATTTAGGAGTTACATTCCCTTCAACAGTTTGCACATCTACAAGAAAATAAAACAAATAAACTGGTAGAAAAAACAACTAGATTTCACTGTTATTTACTCAAAGGCTTGGAAAGATATGAGGTCGTATACATTATAATCATATGAAAAATATGTATAGAAACACAACAAACCTCATGTAGTCAAAGTTCAATAAAATGATTAATCCAACATCAAAAACAGAACATTAGTTCATCAAGTTAGATAAATATCAAACGAAAAGTAAGCTGTTCTAATGATAACTAATGATATGTTCCGTTGAAAAAGGCAATTATTTGTCTTAGTTTCAATAAAATGACGTACATCACAAATAAACGAGTGGATAGATTTTTCTGTTTCTAGTGAATTGTAGCAGATGTATAACGAAATAGGATGTGTGTGTAATGGTTTAGGCACCTGATTATTAAGCTGAAAGTTTATTCGATTCTTGATTGAGCATTTAGGTAATATTATTAATCTCAGAAGAAATATGGATCGCAATAAAGCACGTCAAGCTATAATTGGTGATTGAGTCGCCATATGAAAGTAGAAATTGTTGATAAGTATGATGAAAATAACAATTCTATGACTGCTTTTAGAAAAACGACTCAATATGTGATACTTTTCACTTGGATAGCACTAAATACATTAAGGTGATTCATAAATAATTTTGCTTTATGAACTTACACTAGTTGAAGAATTTTTGACAACCGCATAGGACTAGACAAGGAACGAATCCAAATAAACCAGTTTTATAAAAAGTAACAAAGATGCTTGTCTAGTGAAATGTCCGTGACATAAGAAAACAGTATCCTGTGAAGCAATTACAATTATGTGAGAAATGTTTTTAACCCTACAATTTGAACAAAAGAATGTTTGTTTTTAACAGAATTTTATTTCGGTAGCCGAAAATATATTTATCATAGGAAAGTTTGGTACACTTTTCGCCATACTTCTTTCTTGTGTGTTTTATGTTATGAAAAAGAATAAAGTCATTCAAATGAGAGCTTATGTATATGAAATGTTGTGAATAAAAACTGATTTTTAAGAATCAATTAAATAACTCAACTATAAAAGATGGAATCCTATCATACTCTATAAGAAATGTACTAACTTGGATACTCACCTGGATTGTTTAAAGTACTGATCTGCCCTGGTGTTCTAGTCATTGCACTTGAAATCCCTTCTGTTTTGGTCGATTTGGTGGACAAGAAATTACATGGAATAGAGTCATGCAAGAATTGATGTGACATTAGAGAATTAATCATAGATGCATGATCATTATGATGAGTAGATAAACATGTTTGTAAAAAGTCTCGAAATATCGGTTGAGTTGATTTTAGACTGTCCAACACTTTAGATATTATTAAATTTAGTTGACTTGAATTAGTATGAGGTAATGGACCAATAAGAATATGAAGTATAACAAGACCCTGTTATATGAAAACAACAAAACCCATCAGTGAAACTCAGAATCATATGAAAAAACATATTTTCGGGGCAAGTTATGAAAGCTGATGCAAACTGAGCTCCGACTCATAAATAACCAAGTAAATTGAAGGGAAAACAGAAAACAATGTGTTACATAAACTGCTGAGAATTTGATTAGTTCAAAAGGATTTTTAAATGATCCGTATATATTTTTCAATCAGAAGAGTCGGGAAACAGATTGCTACTCCATAGAAACTGTTGACGAATAACTAAGTACTTGGACCTGAACACCTATCCCGTGTATACGACTTGGAGCTTGATCTCAATAAAAATAGACGCCTGTTTACGCATTACTTTTAAATTTATCGATAATCATCGTTGATTTAACAATAACAATGTGACGAATCTGAATCTACACATATTTCGACAAGGTCATTTTGCTCAAATGTACTATAAGTTTTAAAATAAACAAAAACAACATGAACTTGTTTTGTGGCTGGAGGCATTATTTTTATTATTGCTTCCAACAACAACCGTGTGTGGGCACATTTATACATACACTTATCAAATTGTGAACACTCTCCACATTAAACATTTCATGACCTTACTTTACACAAAATAAACACCTGGACGTGATTGGACAAACATTTAATGTCATTTACATTTAATCTTTAAACATGGTTTATTTTCATTACTTCCCTATACAAGCTCGAACCAGTTTGCAGTGTGGGATGTTGGACGTAAATTTTAATTGCTGAAATGATTTCAAATATGATTTTTACATATCCTAAAATGAAAAAAATGTCTTTAGCAAACCGAGAAGTATCAATTGATAGAGAAACAATATCCTAACATTTTCACACGGCACTACAATAGACTCAATTCAAGTAACGTAGAAAATTTTCACTGAAAGTAGTAATGTGCAGCGTGCATATGCGATTCCCAGCTGTCAGTGTCTCTATAGAATTGTGTCACATTTTGGTCTGATCGCACCTAGCTTTGTTTCAACGTACTATTACATCGAAGAACATATCTCGTCGGAGCAGTCAGTGGTAACGCATACGCAACACATGTCCAAATCACCTCAAATGATGAAGTTTCAATACCTTATCAACTGCTTTGCCATCCCTACCTGGCACCCTTTTCCTAACAAAAGCATTGCTTATTCAATTGTATCAGAATATATGAGCGATGCTTCGAAGACACCTATGATCGAATACCAGTGACCTACAAATATCCTCTACTCTTACTGGCCATGTTTAAACAGCCATAGAGTAGGAGGGAGCGAACTGCTGCGCAGTAAAACCGTCCTTCGGTTAGTAGCGGATATCATGCCTACACCATAAATGACGCAAGTTGACGAAAGCCAGTCGAGCCTTCTATATCGTCACACACCGGTACATCAGCATTGATGAGACTCCCGAGATAAGTGAAGTAGTTAAAACGCTCAAGTACTCCACCCCATAACACTAGTTTAAGTGCCGACACGACAATTATAAAGCAACATTTTGCATATCGACAGGGAGAATCGCATCCCGAACATGCTTAAGGTGGTCAGAAGACTCTGCATTTCGTCACCACCTTCACCCAGAGTGCCTAACTTTTTGAAGGAGGTTGGAAAGCTTCTTTTTAAAAATCATGTTCGGCCTCGTCCGAGCTGCAGTCAGTGGGAGTGTAGGCAGATATAACAAAGAGGGAACGACAAGTGTCCCTATCTTTCCGAGTCCCTACTGTCCCGTTATGGCGGACAGCGCACAATTCATCCATTCTAACAAAGCTAGTTTTGCCCTACGATTCAATGCTAAACCTACACCAGCAAGGCCACGAGAAGCAGCATCAGGGCTTCCAGATACACGAAGAGTAAATAGAGCTGCTTCTTCATTTTGACAAGGTAAAATCAGATTAATAATTGTACTAGGATCCTGTATGCGCGTTTCCGAGACGCAGGCTACATAGATGGCGCGAGATTCTAGAGTATTAGCTAAGGAAGCTTGTTACCATATTTGATACAGGGTCCGAACATTGAAAACAACAAAATGTATCTTAGAGCTTGGTTTCAGCAGAGTAGGATTAACGTGTCCTTTACTCGGATCGTCTGCAACAGTGGCGTGAGGTGACAAGGGAACGAAATGTTTGGTCATGGAGGTAAGAGGGTTATTAAGAGGTGTAGGAACGGTTTGGTTGTGACCAATTTGGTCTCGTGTGCTGTTACCGGTATGAGGGTGGATGTCATCTTCCGGCTTCTCACACCGTGAAAGGGTATTTCTGGAGAAACCTGAAAAAGAAGTCGAATTAGTGTTGGTCTTAGAGACCTGTGAGCGTGACCGCAGAGCCCGAGAGGCAACTGCTTGAGGCAGGTCACGCACGGCATTTTTATGAGAGGTTTTAAGGTGTTTGCTCCACTCTTCAAGTGGTCTTACCGTCGGAGACGGAAACCCATGAGATAAGGTGAGATGTGGCATTTTTGCGGTCGACCTTTTCTAACCCCTTCCTTCCTTGTGAGAAAGATGCGGATGCTGGTTGTGTGAGGAAAACACCTTACTGTTGTCACACCCCTATACAGGCACTGGTGCATCCATTCGTTGTTTTATGAAAATCTAATCTTCTGAATTCGTCATCATCTCTACCTTTCTCCGTCTAGATTTATCTCACTGAAATATACTTTCTGAATGATATCTTCGAACCCCATTCTTCTCTATTACCACTAATACTTCTACTATCACTACCACTACGGGATTTGAACTGACAATTGTGTCTCTGTGCTAATGTGCTATGGCAACTTTAATTGATATACTTACGTATGAAGTTCTACGTTGCAACTACCTGACTGTCAGTCAGAAGTACGACATCATCCTCAGACCTTGAGTAGCTGATTTTAGTCTCACAGTTCTCCGATCGACCTGGCATGGTAAAACCTGCAAGAACATATGTTCCAGCCAATATAGCTCGGATGCGTTATCACGATAGGCAAGCTCGACCACCGCGTCAAGGTAGTAGCTATGATAAATCTGCTAAATGAATGCAAGATCAGGTTACCTATCCGCTTTTAATGAGTCCAAACTAAGTCTACACTACAACTCGAACGCAAAAGAAAAGAAGTATGAGAACGATTTACTGCAAGATATCAAAATGTACAGAGAGCCTATATGTATTTATAGTTCTCTGTATAGCATGGAAATATAATTAAGGTCATCCAATCAGCAGAGCACTTACGAGTTGATGAAGATCTCTTTGTTGTACCGAACGTCCAAAGTAGTGAACAGAATTTTGATATACTTTTGGTGGTAACTGAACACCTAGTTGTTTTAGATTTTCGGAAACGACTTGATCAAGTCTGAAAACAGAAAAAAATTTACAAGTTGATAAAAAACAGAAATTAATCCAAAATAAAAGATGAAAACACGTAATCATCTATCCAAAGTCATTTTAAAGAATCATTAACTAAATCAGCAAATCCTACATTAAATTCTTAATGGATGATGCACAACCATGGAAATCAACCAGTGAGCGTAAACAAATTCATTTGAAAAGTATGGATTTTCAGCACGAAAAGGTCGGGTAAGGCAGTGGGTTAAGCATACATACTCAGACTACCTCGGTCAATGAAGATCAATAACTTCATCAACGTGTTTGAAACGCTGATAATACAATTAGATTCTCTGTTGTGACCTGTCTGTTGACCTAAAACGACAAATGTGACGGGATGTGATGTGCATTAACAACCGAAATGGATTTTAACAGTAATTCAGCTTTTTGCACGATACACCTGATTATAAAACTTGATTGAAAGAAATTATCATTCTATTTATCTGACTTTAGAAAATTGAGATTAGTGAAAATTTAACAAACTTAGCTACAATTAATTAGTGGAACAAGGATCACAACTAAAAGGCAGTTATAGTCCATAAAACTAGGAGGAATTATAACATAGTTATTACCTTGCAAAAAATTCATATCTGCATAGTGTGACGTGACCTGATTTGTCCACAAATATATTCGATGGCTAGAATAAAGTAAAAATATAAATACTTAATTATTACTGTTATAACTATCTGAAATAAGATGTATAATTCATTCATGATTTCAATGTGAAGAGAATTAACATAATTACTTAATGAATTTTAGAAAATTGCCGCATTAGCAAGAAGTTAACTATAGATCACAAGGGTAAGTGTGTAACAAATTCTCCATTATAATGCTTAAAATACATTTCTCTTTTGAGAAAAGACTTGGAAAGCAATATTTAAGTTCAATAGAGAACCTGTTGAGAATTAGTTCTGGAGAAATGGTGGAAGACAAATTATTCAGAATGTACCTACGACATCTTATTAAATCTTAGTAAAGTACGAAGATCATTCAAATGTATAAATACTTACTATTTGAAAAAACTGGTTGAAAAAAAATCACTTTTTATAGGTTCGAGCTTGTAGTCAGCCAAAAATTACCAATATGCTAATCTAAAATGTCAATAAACTCTTATTTTAGAGTGATGCTACATAGCAGTTCACAAATCACTCTCAGATTTAAAGTTGATGACATGTATTAAATGGCTTAACTGACTACAGCACCAATTGAGATGAAGAATGAATTAGACACATAGTAATAAGGAAAAGCACATACATCCAACTCACATGTAAATTTCTGTGCACAAATGAATAGGTATGAAGCCAAGAAACAGCACTAACGATTTGATCTATTATATAACGTAACCATATCAATTTATTATCATCGATTTCAAGAACTTTAGGAAGAGAAACGTAGAGTAAGTTAGGATCAAGTTTTTCATTAGCGAATGGAAGTACTCCAGCTCCGACAGATTCCAAACTTGAGCCTTTTGGACGTTCGGTAATCAAACGAACAACATCCCAGTTCTCCCATAATTTCTCCATGTTCTGATTATAGGCACTAATATCAATACCTTAAAAAAAAAGGAGATGCTATGATAAAACCTTGCATTTCACCGTGCGTTTTAATATTTCTCTCAATCTTATTCATTAAAAAGACGCCTGATATGCGAATAAAACACAACACAAACGATGGAGTGGAACTCTGAAGTATTAGCGGTAATGGAGAAGATTAGGGTTCGAAGATATCATTCAAGAAGTATAATTCAGTGAGATACCTTTAGAAAAAAAGATAGAGATTATGGGGAAGCGGAAATAGTGAATTGAGATTAGAGCAACAACTGTTCGAAGAACCATTAGGTTGTAGCAACTTTAATAGTTCTGCCGGTCTTCCACATTGTGCGAACATTCCACGTACCTAAGTTAATTGTTGCTCTGGTTGCCAGAAAAGGAATCGGTCTCGAGACTTCCGAAGAAACTCGGCTATCATCATGGGTCCTCATAAGTCTTCTAAACGAAGACCTTCCAAATCTCAGGACAGAGTTTAAATGGTTTGAATTACGTTTTCTGGTTAGCATTTTTTTAGCGGGTTGGTTTTCTACGGGATTGAGTTGCTGACTCGACACCCAACTCTCCTCCTTTATCTCGACTAGGGACAGGAAATAACTCCAGAAATGCTCCAGGCGGAGTTTGCTTCTAGTAACCCTAGGCCAAATCTACACTTCAACTTCGAGACAAGAGAAAAGCGAGAAATACGCTAAGAGCGCTTCATTAAAAGGTTAGCTTATGTGCAGAAAAATGAGGGCATTCATAGAGTCACAAACTTAGGCTCCTGGAAGGTTCGAGAACCATACCAAATATAGCAGCGATATGGCTAAATGTCCCATTAAAAACACAATGTGATTAAGCATCTCCCAGATGTTTTTGCGAAGGTTCCAATCAACACGTGAAACGTTTACTGGCGTTTTTGAGCCTCTGCAGTTTCCTGATGGATATTTCGAGGCTCCTGAACAGTAAATCGGTGTAATTAATAATAATAATAATAATAAATAACTTTATTCAATATTATCTGCCTAGTACAATATGGAATTGAGATGGTGGTATTTAAGCAGGCATTGTAATAAATAATATGTTTATTAACTTGTGACCTACTACAGCCTACATACTCATAACAGCTTTTTTAATTTAGTAAGACATGGTAGCAGCACCACCGAGTAAAACAAACTACAGTCAGTGTCAGTAAACAGAGATCCGAAGCCATTGTCTCTAGATAAATGGACATAAAAATTACAATGAAGGATTTTGTATTGCTTCATTAAAATCTTTCAGTAACCAAACTCTCCTAACTAGGAAGGTTTGGTGTTTGATTCAAACAGAGGTATAATTGTAATAGGTGACATTTTCAATTACATATGTGGCATCGGCATCTTCATATAACTACTAGCAAAATGTAAATAATGTCTTTACTATTCAAAGTTACTTGGTATAAGCAAATGGATTAGATTCCTTCATTCAGTGGACACAGTGAAATAAAATGTTTAACTTCTGCTTTAAGATCCTCAGATAATATTCACTAGTTTGCATAACAATCAAATTTTGCTATTTATAGTCGTTGGCAGATATTATACATTCAACTTATAATCTGAATAAAAATTCAACAAAGAGAAGATCGGATTATTTTTTACAAATCACTTAGCTTCCGCTCTTTTGAGATACATTTCTAACAGTCGAGTTGAATGTAAGCATGTACTGACTTAAACTTGCTCTAACAGATAAACATTTCCTAATTCACTTTAATATTAAAAAGAATTGCTTTATTATGGATTTATGAAATATATCTTTACCAGTACACCTCATACGTTTGAATAACTCACTATACGGTCTGTAGTTCTAAAAAGACATGGAGAAACAAACAAGCCTATTGGATATTATCGAAATGAAAGGTTGTAAGTTTCAGACTTACCACAAGCAGGTAAATTTCTGGTACATTCAACACCTAAGATTCTACACAGATTTGGATGCTTATCTTGTCGGGCAAAATAGGCTACCTGAGTAAGGAAATTATCCAGAAAGTTATTGTTAGTTGAGTAGGCACTATTGATGTGAAAAATCCATTCATGCAACTGAATTGAAGCACCAGTTTTTACATCCAATCCATCGAAATAGCAAACACACGGGAAAATATCTGTACTGAGAACACTGGATCACTTAAACATTTTAATTACAGAAAACATACTTGGATCGATCATGAGGTCCATCAGCACAACATCCTCTCTGAACCTCGATGAAAATGGATTCGAGTGATTTGTGAGCTAATTTATACTGTTCAACATTCGTGTATTTTTTCAGTTTTTTACAGTTTTCTATGCATAACATTTTCAGAGAGCAAATTGACATATGTCTGTTCAGTGGACATCCTTCAGTCACGTCTGGATAGGACGGTTGTTGAATATGAGAATCTAAATGCACCGATAATGTTTGAGTATCAGATCTATGAGCTTCTGATTGACAAAAAACCCTGGAAATTATTAAAATGTAGAATAATATCATATACAATAGTAGGTTTACGATATCGAAACACAAACACAAGGGGCTGTAAATATGAATTATTTTGCTAATTTTTTTATAACAAATAAAGACAATAATTTAGTGCAGTTTAAGCAAAACAACTGAACTTTTAAATTCTCAAATTTAGAGTACTGGAACTCATTATCTGTTTAGTTTTCTTCTTTGAAAGAGCACATACAAGGACTACATGACCTAAAAGACGTATATTTTCTAATTAGGCGTATCTTAATGTAAGTAACAACGACGTGAAAAATACAAATACTAAGACGCTTATTTCTGGCAAGTACTAGTCTGAAGAACAGAGAAAAACATATGACACTATATGACAATAATTATAGTATTTATTGAAAGAATACGCTTTATTATCTGTTTAGAAAAATACGTCTTTGGTTAGTCATAAGGCAGAGGGATAGGGGGAAAATGGAGCATATTCCACACCATTAAGTATGTTGTTCCTCTCTTCAATGATGACCCTCATTAAAATGCGGTATTTCGATAGTCACCCTTATAAATGTGAACCTTTTTCTCACGCCCCTAATAGTGTGAAGTCTAACAACCGCATTTGTCAAAAAGTGATTTTGTCTATGATAGGAGTACACTGGACAAAAGCTATGAACTGCCTAAAGAAAGAGGTGCCATCAGTGTTTGAATTCATTATTAGCCTGAGCAGTGTGGATAAGAACAAATTAGCAGCAGGAGTTCATGCGACAACCAAGACCATTGCTTGAAGGCGTCGTTGTGACATTGTTCAGTTGGTCTTAGTGAGGTAGATGCATTTACTCCCCTAGATCTTGAGTTCAAATAATATTCCATTCACTACTTTTAAAAATGTTTTCACCTTCGGACCTTCATGCTATAGTCAAAATTACTACTATTTGAAGACTGTTGTCCTCCATCTTTTAAATTTTATCGCGATGTGCTCGTATGATGTAGCAACTTGAGTTGATGGTATGTGTGATTTCTAAGGAGATTTAGAAACTTAGAATCTAAGGGAAGATAATGAATGAATGCACCTCTGCTACTGAAGATGATTTCGAGTCATGTCATTCGAACTCGTTAACCACTGGTTACAACAATCACACTGACCCCAACCAGGAAGTCTGCGCCTATCAGCATAGCTCAGTTAGACAGTCAATGACTTCATATACTGAAACCATGTCTTGGTTTGACCGCCCCTAACATTCTTTCAACTTTCCCCTACATTAACCATCGTCACGTGTTGAGATAGTCAGTGGAGGGCTAGTATGTACTACACGCTCAAACCAACTCAGACGATAAAGATTCAATTGATTGGTCATAATTATCTAGTACCCTACGTCTAACCTCAGAATCGATAACTTTATGGTCCCAAAATATACGAGCAACGCTTTGACCATGAGCATAATCTGATACTAATAACCTACGAATATCCGCTATTCTCAACGGCCATGTTTCAAATCCATTAGGAAGAAAAGAGCTGCGCAGTAAACCTGTTCTTTGGTTGGCAGACACATATCTCCCCCACACCACAAGTGACACAAATTAGCAAAAGCCAATGGAACTTTATAAACCCATGCTGATATTTCGTCAGACAACAACGCAGTAGGGGTAATGAGACTTCCGAGATCAGTGAAGTGTTTGACGCAATTAACTACTTAACTCCTTATCAGTGAGAACGATTCGAAGTAATGTTTCTGAGTCTCCAACAATTGGTCAAGATGACCTAATAACATATTATTTATAATTGAGAAATGACCTAAGGAGCGAGTTAGATCCTTATCTAAAAATAATTTTAAAACATTTACGTGAAGTGGCTTCCTTAAGTAAATAATTTAACAGAAGTGGATGTTCAGAAGATAAGCCGGAATGCTAGACAAGCAAGGCTGGAGAAACACTACTCGGATACCTAATACATAATGAAAGCAACAGATTTCGAACCAAGTTTAATGAACAGAAAGCTGAGTAATTAACAAACAGTTTGACAATATTTATAAACATGAATGACATCCAAGAAGAATGTTTAAAAAAATTAATTTAACATACTCAGATAGCTGATATTCTTCTCTTTTTCTTTGAACTTCTGACTGTCAAAAAAAGAATAACTATGATCATTTGTCAGTTTATCAAAAACATGAATGATTGCTACATCAACATGATTGTTTGCTGTTTTTTTTAAACTAGAGGTTAAAGCTGGTTATTTAACTCTATCGAAACATTACTAAATTAATTACTGTCATACTCATAAGCTGACTAACTGCAATTGATAAAATAATTGAGAATGTGTTGTTTCCATTCGCTAGTCAATTTAAATAAAAAGGTACGAAAGGTAACTTCAAGTGTAAAATATTTTCTAATCTGTGTATTCTTTTAATTCTATCTTAAAATTATTACAGAAGACAGAAAGAATAAATCAGTTAATCATGATGCAGTGAAACATTCAACCCATGACGTAAATGAAATGAGAATTAAGCCTTTGAACTATGCTTACATTGATTCGATATCTTATTACTATTTAAGCCGGCCTTTAGATGGAAAGAGGGTAGATAAAGTAAAGATTATCGTATAAAAACTACCTTAGATTAAATATTTGGTGCTAAGGTCTTATCATTTCAAAACAGGCTAGTTTCAAAAGAATATCAAGATAAACACCAAATACGCGCCTACAAGATGGAGTAATAAGAACATTACCATTACGATCAACATACAAAATCTCATTTTTAAATATTAAAATTGATAAACGAATGATATAATTAATCTTACATCATTTAATGATAAGCGCCACTGGATAGCCTCATCAATATGTTCAATCTGAAAAGCAAGCATTCACAGGATTGTTTGCATGATTACCATGGATTTATTGAAAACAACTTAAATGATGTAATATTATGTCAAAACAGATAAACCCGAACTCAGCTCCCCACTAGCAAGTCTAGATAAAATATTGGAAAGGAAAGTAGTGAATTTTGATGTAGCGACATTGAATGAACATCTATCATAAAAGACGGAATGATAAATTGGTGTATGATCAAGGGGAAATAGAGACTCGCTGTTTTCCTAGACAGCTGGCAGACAGTCCAACAGGTATTTGATATCATGCATATTTCCCTACCTTTGCCCGACCGAAGCTGCTACCTTGACGGGGTGGTCGGGCTTGCCTATCGTGATGACCCAACCGAGCTATATTGGCTGGAACACATGTTCCTGCAGGTCCTACCAGGCCAGGCAGGTCGATTGGAAAACGATGAGACTAAAAGCAGCTACCCAAGGTCTGAGGGCGAAGTCGTACTGCTGACTGCAGAGGGGTGTGACAGCAGTAAGGTGTTTCCCTCGGACAACCAGCATCTGCAGCGATGCTGCCTTCTCACAAGGAAGGAAGGGTTAGAAAAGGTCGGCCCTAAAAATGTCACACCTCCCCTAACTCACGGATTTCCGTCTCCTTGGGTAAGGGTGCCCACTAAGGGCCTTTAAGAACGGAGCTAATCCTCTAAAAACATTTCATAAAAAGGCCGTGCGTGACCGGCCTCAAGCAGTTGTCCCTTGGGCTCTGCAGTCACGCACCAACACTAATCCATCTTCCTTTTCAGGTTCGTCAAGAAACAACCTTCCACGGTGTGGGCAGCCGGGAAGTGATAACCGCCCTCATACCCGCAACAGCACACGAGACAAAATTGTTCAAAATCAAATCCTTCCTACATTCCCCTAATACCTCTCTTATCTCCACAACTAACTCTTCTCACATTCATTTATTACAGTGCACAGCTAATGCAAACGATGCGAGTTTGCGAAACGTCGTTCCTGGTCTCCTTAAACCCCGTTCCAAACTAC